TGTAAGTATTGGTAGCTCCAATTTTCAGGTAGCTCCAATTTAAAGCTAAGGTTCATAAAGGTAAAGGCAATTGCTAACGTCCCCAATGTCCACCAATGAGTTAGAGGCAGAGCAGGGGGAGTCATGGAAAAAGCTCTAGCCCCAGAGACAGGGTCTCCAACAGGTTCCTGGCAGCCCATGGCGTCCTCATCCCACTGACAACCCATGCCAACAGGGTAGCAGTGACACTTCTCCCCAAGTCACAGAGAGGCCCAAGAGGGGCTGAGTCACTCTGATCACGAGGCAGCACAGGAGGGACAAAGAAAACCAATGGCTCCTGACTCCCTGCTATGCTCTGCAGGGTGAAAAGCCCAACCCTGGTGGTCAGAAGAGTCTTGGCTCTGGGGGAGATGGATGTGGTGAAGAAGGAGGTCAACACTCTCCTGCTGAGGACAGAGGCTTAGGTCACAGTGCTGGCTGGCCAGCTGCAATGGGGACCAGCCATCAAGGTAAACGCAGGCGCCTCATGATCTTCTGCAGTCTCCCCCACAAGCCTGGGCCTCCAGCACAGAGCAGGGCACCCCTCCCTGGCCTTCAAACCTGTGGCCCATGAGAGGAGTGGCAGTGCCCAAGCGTGAGCCACAGAGACACAGACGAGGTGGGTTCCGGCCTCTGCCCTACCTCTGACCCCTCCTGACCTTAAGCAAGTCAGGTGACCTCTCTAACCCTCTGGTTCCTCTTCCGGAAAACAGGAAGAGGAAAATTAACCTCCTGGAAGAGCTGTCAGGAGGATGGCTGGGAAGCAGTCTCTAAACATTAAGAGCCTAAATTACCTCTGAACCTCAGTTTCTTCTTCCGGAAAATGGAATGATCTCTGGAGTACCTTTCTTATGCTGTTGAGAGAGAGTCTCAGATGGCAGTGGGTAAGAAATCGCTTTGTCAGTGGCTCCGAAATGACTCCTGGGATGATTTCTCTCTAGTCTGTGAGCTCCTTCAGGGGAGGAATGTGTCTTGCACATCTTTGATCCCCCACACTATGCCTAGTACACAGCAGGAGCCCAATAAATAAATGTTGGAAGCAAGGAGACGGGGCAAGGGTGGAGAGAGGGAAGGGAGGAGGAAAAAGCGGGACTCAAGGAGAGGAGGGGTAAAAGAAGGAAACGACGAAAAAGAGGGGGTGCAGGAGGGGTGAGAGGAGGAGATGAGGGAGAGTTTGCTGTCAGGACGTAGGGGGTCGGGAGCTGAAGGGGAAAAACAAAGCGGCAAAGCTGAGCTCCTGACCAGGGCTTGTCTGTCGCCAAGGGCTGTCTCCAGGGGTTGCCCTGCCATAGCCCCCTCCCCCTTCTGTTCCAGTTTCCCATTTTAGCTTCTGTTCCAGTTTCCCATTTTAGAGGCATGGGCTCTCCCTTTCTGAGTCTTTCAAGGAAGGCTCTAAGAAGACAGGAACCCCTCTCCCCGCCCTGGCCAGCCCCCCAAGCCTCAGGAGGTCAGAGGAAAGGTAACAGTGCATGGGACCTGTTTTCCCCAGGCTCCAGGGGGGCGCCTCCACCCTGTGCAGTGTGCGTGTGTTTCCACTTCTGGCCATGTGGGGACTGGAGTGAGTGTGTCAGCAGCCCTGNCCCCACACTATGCCTAGTACACAGCAGGAGCCCAATAAATAAATGTTGGAAGCAAGGAGACAGGGCAAGGGTGGAGAGAGGGAAAGGAGGAGGAAAAAGCGGGACTCAAGGAGAGGAGGGGTAAAAGAAGGAAACGACGAAAAAGAGGGGGTGCAGGAGGGGTAAGAGGAGGAGATGAGGGAGAGTTTGCTGTCAGGACGTAGGGGGTCGGGAGCTGAAGGGGAAAAACAAAGCGGCAAAGCTGAGCTCCTGACCAGGGCTTGTCTGTCGCCAAGGGCTGTCTCCAGGGGTTGCCCTGCCATAGCCCCCTCCCCCTTCTGTTCCAGTTTCCCATTTTAAAGGCATGGGCTCTCCCTTTCTGAGTCTTTCAAGGAAGGCTCTAAGAAGACAGGAACCCCTCTCCCCGCCCTGGCCAGCCCCCCAGGCCTCAGGAGGTCAGAGGAAAGGTAACAGTGCATGGGACCTGTTTTCCCCAGGCTCCAGGGGTGCGCCTCCACCCTGTGCGGTGTGCGTGTGTTTCCACTTCTGGCCATGTGGGGACTGGAGTGAGTGTGTCAGCAGCCCTGGGGGCTGGCAGCTTGTGCCCCTGGAGTGCCAGTCTGTGTGCGTGGTGGTCTGATGTGTGTCTGTGGGGGTCAGTGTTAATGTGGTCTTGCGTTCTGCTGTGTTGGTGAGACGTGACAGCACAAGTGTGCATGGCAATGAGGGTGACAACGTGTGTGTGCCAGCAAGAGTGCTTGTTACAGCAAGTGCAAGTGACAGTGTATGTGTGTATCATGTGCGTGCCCACATGAGGGTGTGTTAGAGGTGGCATGTGTTGGAGTGTGGCCTGTGTATGCCACCAGGACTGTCAGCAAGAATGTGAACCAAGGAGTATGTGTGATGCGGTATCATTACATATAATGAGTGTGTGGCAGCGGCTGTCACTGTGTGTGCCAGCATGAGTGTGCCCGTGTGTCCACATGAGCGTGTGTGTATTATGTCAACCTGCCCCCTTGCGCCTCTGCGTCTGCCAGTGCTGGGTGTCAGCGAGTGACTGCGTGTGTGAGTGTGCCTC